ATTTAAAAACTAAATCTTGTGTGATCCTGGAATAGAAAGGGACATTAGTGAAAAAACTAGCAAAATTCAAAACAGGCCTGCATATTAATTAACTGTATTGTATTAAAATTAAATTCCAGATTTTGACAATTGTACTATGGTTATATAAGATGTTAACATTAGTGGAATCTGGGTGAAACGTATAGGGGAATTCTCTACATATTTCTGCAACTTTTCTGTAAGTTTAAAATTATTTCAAAATATGATAGATATCCATATATATGTATGTATATATATATGTGTGTGCATCTGTATATATATGTGTGTGTTAGTGTACATATATATATAATTAGATACATAAGTAATGTTTGGCAGAAAAATATAATGTAAAATATAATTTTCTAAGTAATAGGTGATTCGGCTGGGGGCTTCTACATGAATAAGGAGGTCAAAGAAATAAGCTGGGAGATGCAAATCAATGAATGTATCCTTAGGAAGTACTTAAAAACATGTCCAATGTTCTTGGGGCCAAAGGGCCAACTTACTATAAAACTGCAAAACAGAATACAGGAAGGGTGAATTTTGGAATTGTAAAATACTAGATATCACAATATCCTATCTGCCATTTTAAACTAGAGGATTCTGAGAACAGAGTGGTTAAGGGGACTGCCTAAGGTCAACATATACTGACTTAGAAAAAACATAAATTTATAACTTCGGTGAAAACAAAGAAGTCATGGAAAAATAAGGCTGACAAGTAGAAGCCACAGTATAAAATAAAAATTCAGCTACATCTTTACCTTTGAGCATACACTAAATTTCAGTTAGAAAGATGAATTAAGAATAAGAAAGAAAGCCATAAAGAACCTAGAAGAAAACTTAGGTAAAAGATTTCTTTTTCACAATTAAAGGACAGGAAAGAACTTCCTCAGCAAAAAAACATAAACTTAAAAATAAGCATATAAAAAGTAATATTTTAAAGCCAACAACTGGGAAAATATCTACAACAAATATGATGTATTTTTTATATATATGACATAAAGGATAAATATCCTTAACATATGCAGATCAATAAACAATAACAAATCAATAAACAATGATAGCAAACATGCTGACAGAAAATTAGGCAAATGACATGAGACAGGTAACCCAAGAAGATAATTAAATGGCCAATAAACAATTGGCAAGATATACAATATATAATAATCAGAAATGCAAATGAGATGTCATTCTTGATCCATCATACTAAAGATTGAACGATGACTATTCAGTAGTGGCAAAAGTTGCAGACAGATACTCCCATGCCCTTCTGGTAATAGGATTAACACAGTATTTTTTATAGTAATTTGTCAATACACCATCAAAATCCTTCAAAGCATAAATATGTTTTGAATTGAGAGCCAGTCAAATTGTAGTCAATGGACTCCTAGAGTCCTTGAGACCCTCTCAAGGGACTACAGGTCAAAATTTTTTTATATAGAAATAATAAGACATGATTTGCCTTTTCCCCTGGGTGACATTTGCTTTGATGGTATGAAAACAATCGTAGGTAAAACTGCCGGCTCCTGAGTACAAATCAAGGCCTGGCATCACTGTCCTAAGAGTCACTGTATTCTTCACTACCACACATTGAGAGCCAGTCAAATTGTAGTCAATGGACTCCTAGAGTCCTTGAGACCCTCTCAAGGGACTACAGGTCAAAATTTTTTTATATAGAAATAATAAGACATGATTTGCCTTTTCCCCTGGGTGACATTTGCTTTGATGGTATGAAAACAATCGTAGGTAAAACTGCCGGCTCCTGAGTACAAATCAAGGCCTGGCATCACTGTCCTAAGAGTCACTGTATTCTTCACTACCACACACTTGCAGGGGTGGTGGGGGGGGGGGAAGCCAGTTTCGCATAAGAATATCTAAAGATTCTCTTATTAATTTGATTAAATTTCAACCCTTGAATACACATCTTATTAATGTTCTGGAGGACAAAATATAAAGTAAACACAAAGCACATGTATTGCGTGTGATGGCTGTCTTGAGGGAGAACACTTGTATGATTAAGCTGAAGTAACCGCTTTTTCCATGGAACACCATTTTTACATGAATGACTGATGAACAAAGTACGATTATTCAGATCTGGGTATCTGGTAGACATTTTCTCAAAGTAAATAATGTGAGTCTGTCACTTCAAGGAAAATAACTGATAGTATCTGTTGCCAGTGACAAAATTTGAGCTTTCAAGGGAAAATTCAAATATTGGAAAACTCGGTATCCATTACCATAAGCTTGACAGCTTTAAGTCTTACAGACTTTTCTGATGAAGATCAGTGGGGATATTAACAAATGTGATTTTTTGATACTGTGGAGTAAAAGGGGACAACATTTGGCAGGTTTGCATAACTCACAACTAACGTTTTGCGAATGAACAATACATGATGATTAAAATCATGCACAGGTAAAAGATGCGCTCAGAGTTCAAGACAGGCCAATGGAATGAATGCAACAGTGTGAAAAGTTCCATGATGTGGTTTCACATTCCACATTGCAATTAACCTTTAAGAAAATACCACTTAATGGGTTTTATATATTAACAGCAATATCCACAATTATCTGAAAAGCCTATTACTCTTCCCTTTTCCAACTATGTATTTGAGGTCAGAGCTTCTTCATATTCTTTAATCAGGACAACATATCACAACAGGTTGAATACAGAAGCAAGTGTGTCTTCCTTCTGTTAAGGCAGGCATTAAAGAGATTTGCAAAAGTGTAAAACAATGCCGTTTTTGAAATGATGGTTAATAATCATAAAAATGTTAATATGTAATGAGTCTATTGTTATTTTCAAATAAATTAATAAGCAAAATTTTAAAAGTTTTCACTTTGAACTTATATTTTGGTAAATATCAATAGATAATCCACATAAACATAAGTTCTCTGGGGTCCTTAGAATGCAAAGAGATGTGGAGATCAAAGCTTGAAAATTGTTGATATGGCCATTCCCAACTACTGAGACTCTAAAGTAAGAAAATAAGCAGACTTAGCATTACATACATACAAAAATAATATCAGAAAATTAGAAAAACAATATACTTGGTGTCCAACAATAAGAAAATGGATAGTACATCTAGAATGTGCTTTATTGGTTATAAGAAACAAATTATGAATAATTTTTAAAAATGAGGACTACTCACAGTATATTATGCGAAAAAAGCAAGATCTACACACTATTTCGTAGACATATTAAACTGAAAAAAGACTAGAAGGAAGTAAATAAAATGGTACAGAAATTTTCTGGGCTATGGGATTATGAATAATTTATTTGTATTACTACTTTTAAAATCAGGAAAATAAGTCTTTTTAGCAACTTTTTTGTACTTCAACTTTTTTAGAACTCAATGTATGTGAATGCCACCAAAAATCAATTTCCACTATTGTTATTATTATCAATATGAAACGAATCAATGCAGCTTAGTATAGAACTCTGGAAAGTCAAGAAACTTGTATTCTAGACACTGTTTGGCTATCAAACATCTCTGCTGCTAACTGGCTCTTTAATTCCTTCTTTTACCATTAATGATGTGGCCTCTCTACATAAAGTTTCCAGTGAAAAAAGAGCTATTCCCTGAAAGGTATTTGGGAGAAGTGAAAATTATTTGGGCACACCATAAGTAAGAAAAAAAGAGCGTAAGAAAATAAGCTAGACAGCATGTTACCCCAAAGGGAGTCCTTCAATTAAGTGTACTTCATAACTCTATCATAAGAGTACAAGGAGGTTACCTCTTATGGAAAGGACAAAGTATTTGCTATGGAAAGGAAAGAAAGAAAAAGGTTGGGAGGAAAAGAAAGAGAAGCAAAAATACAGTGCTCAGATAAGTACACAACAAGAGCAGAATATCTAAATGTGTGCTCTATCTTAAATCTTCCCAGAAAAATCTACCTGTTCCCTAATCTGACCAGCCTTTCATCCATTTCACCGTTCATTGGCAGAGCTGGCGAGAGTTAATGACAGAAAATTAAACTTCAATTTGTCAATTTTGTTCCTTGTTAGCAAGTCTAATAAAAATCTTAAAGACTATAAAGGGATAAAAATTGCCCTAAATTAAATCTGGATAATATTAGAAAGAGATCCCTTCACTTTAAAGATTAGGAAAAGTGAGTCAAAAAACTTAGATCATAAGACTTTCAATTTGTACTTCAATTTTTCCAATAATCTCTCTTTTCTCAAGAAAATTCTTCTATGGTGACGTCTGCTCAAGGGGCTAAAGTGCTCAATGCCTCAAAACAAAATAGTACAAATTTGGATTTGGTTTGAAGTAAAGATTCTATACTTTTACAATAGCACAAATAACCTAGTTGTCCTGTACTGGGCATCAGTTTATACATCTTTAAAATGATAAAATCTATAGTAGAAAAATTCCTCAAGTCCTTTCTTAGAAAGTTGGATAATCATAAAATCAATTAAGAAAGACTTTTTGAGGAGGAGGGAATTATGAAATAAACCTGGAATGAGTATAATTTGGTTATACAAATGGCCAATCATGACCCAAAAGTGGAACCTCTAGGGCACCAGTCTTAATTAGACTGAGAACTCTTGATGTCTGTGAATTGCTGTAGGCCTGTACTCTCTTGTGTTTCCAGGGTACGACTGAGAAGGGTCCTCCATTTCCTCCTTCTGAAACTGCACTTCTGAAACACTTTGAGAGGGCCCTGACACCTATTCCTAGTATCTGTCAAGTAACCACTAGATATTTATGGAGTACCTACTATGTGCACCCATCACCCAGCACAAGCAACATTTGTTGAATTGCAAGGCCTTAAAAGACTGCCGGGGATTCACCCATTGAGAGTCTCCTGTGGAAGGCAAGGGAAAGAAGAAACCTTTCCACCATCCTTGATCTCCTAACACCTGACACTCGGGTTCCTCCCAACTCATGTGTGACACGTGGTTCCTAAGCGCTGGCTGGGCTACCCAGGCGCAGCTGCTGCGGGCAAAGGTCTGTGAGAGGGGAGAGGTGTGCACTTACCTGGGGAACCTCTGCTTCAGCTTCCTCAGACTTTGCCTGGTAGGTGGCACAGACACTAGGCACTGTGCTATCTCGTCGTACTGGGCTTTGGTCAGTATCATGTTGGGCCAGGGACTGGGAGGTGGCGAGAACACAGAAAAAAAACACCCTGGGCTCGAGCAGCCTTGGTGCCCGGAGATGAGGGGTAGGCACACAGCACCAAGGCTCTGGATCCTCGTCTTGCGTGGCTTTACCCTATACCCCTTTCACCCCTAGCGACACAGCCCGGGTTTCACTCGGCAGCTCCGCGGCAGAGGGAGGGCTGTAGACCCGATCGCCCAACCTTGGCTTTCTGAGCAGCCGCAGTAGACCCTGCCGAAGACAACGGCCGCCATGTTAGTTAAGGGCAAACTAACCAGGAAGTAGTGGCCGCCCGCAGAGGTGGCTCCTAAGTCTCAGTGGGTAGGAGTCCTGGCAGCGCCCATCCGGGATCAAGCTGGGATGTTCATGGAGTTATTACTTTCCCACTTGACAGAAGCCACGGAGTCCAGGCACATAGGCCAGGCGGCAGAGCACGTGGGGTGCCCCGCGATCTTCAGCTTGAGCCCGTAGAGCCACTGCCAAAGCGCGCGATTTGAAGACGATTCCAAACGCGCCCGTTTTAGCGCAGCTCCAATCGGAGACCGACCTACACAGAAAGCACGTCTTCACTGTAGTAAAGTCTCGCCGCACTCTGCAAGCCTGAGCGGAGCAGTAAAACCCGCTAGGATCGCTGTAAACAGACTGCTTAACTTTGTAGAGCGGAGGCCAAGAGTTTGTGCAGCTCGCGTGGGAGGCAATTTTGGCCATTTTGGGAAACAGACTAGAAAATAAATTAGACATCAATCAGCCTGCAATAAAGAGTATCACTCTCACTCCCCACAGGTGCTCAAAGACTGAAATCATTTCTTAACTCGTATTTGTATCCCCAGCTCTCAGAAAATAGTAAGCGCTCAATAAATGTTTGGAGAAATGAGTCAGGGAAGGAATTACTCTAATCTGTTTTGTACAAGTGCTGTGAGGGGATTCAGCTCTTCTGAGGCAATTAGGATATCAGCCCCTCCTTTTATCTCCTTTTAAAGACCCGTTTGGTTCTTAGGAGGCCATACACTGTGTTGTTTCTTGAAAAACTTGAACATTTTAAGCAAATGAAAAAAAACGTGTTTTGATTTTAAAGAATGTGTAAATGGGGTTTTGTTGTTTTTTAAACCTGGAAGAAGGCCTGGCTTGGAAATTAAGCCTAGATATACCCCCTTGGATTCCTTAATCCATCTAAAACTTAAGTTCCTTTGTCTGTAAAACTGCCTTTTAATTCAGGGGTTATCGTTAAGATTAAATAGGATAGTACGAAGAACAGATTCCTGAGCAAAGCGTTCAGTAGAGTCTGTGTAAACTAAATAGCTTATGTAAGACTCCTTGATAATGGCATGTCACGTGGACCTGTCCTTTACCAGGTATTCTTTGCTGCCCACGCATTGACTGACTTTGTAACTTCCTGTGAGGCAGGTACTATGGCCATTATCATCCTGTTCCTCCCTTTTGTACAGGGTGAATAAACTGAGGCATGAAAAGGATGAACAACGTCCCGGAGGTCATGAGAACAAGTAAGCAACAGGGATAGAGCTTAAAGTCCTTAAATTTTGCTCCAGGGTCTGTGCTCTGGCTCCCTCTCAGTAATGCATAATTACTGCTCCAAAAAGTCACACTCTCTTAGGCCAAAGGTTAAGGATTTTTTTTGAAAGGGAACAATCTACATTTCAAAGAATCTGTTAGTCCAGGTTTTTAAAAAAGCTTTACTGCTTTTTTTTTCTCCCAGACTTCTCAAAGTCCAGTACCAACAGTAGATCCTGAATTTAGTAATCATAATTTTTTTAAATATTTGCTTCAGAATGTTTTCTTCCCATATGCTTTGCATCTAACCCTAGTTGTGTGACATTAGTACATAACTATTTATTTATGGCAGCGTGGCCTGGAGTTGCCACCTGGCTAGTGTGTTGCTGACCCTGCCATGACTTTTACATGAAAGCTAGCTGACGATAAGCAGACACCACTTGATCCCCCATTCCTTTCTCCTTCCCCACTTCACTCTTTCTAATTCACAGCCAACAGATTTTTATAGAAAACATCAGTTTGAGGATGTTTGTACTAGTTATTTTTTTATAGAAACTCTTCTCTCTGGCTCTTGTCCTGCAGTCACCCTCACACCATTAAGGAAAAGGCCAGGTTTGTTTTTCTGTTTTCATTTTTAACATGTTGGCAGTTTACAATGTGGACCCAAATCCAGTAGATTGTTTAGAGTCAGTGCCGGGGGGAAAAGCACAGTTATGTTGCTGTTTTCATTGGCAATGACAGTAATTTGTGTTTATTAAGCACAAAATAGAAGCAAAGCAGAAATGTGGTGGTGGTGTTTAGGTGTTTTTTATTTTCTTTTAATGTGAAATGATTGTTGTAAGCCAATTATTCTTTGAGGCACTTTTTTCCCCTTTCTTTCCTTCCTCTCTCCTGCCCCATCTTTCAAATCACACTCCATGGTCCTCATCTGCTAACTCCTTCTAGAGCTGCTTTCCCATCCTTGATGTTCCCCCACTGTTTCTTAGTAAGCCAGCCAGTAACACCAGCCATTTCCCCACTAAGTGAAGTAGGGTCATGAAATGCAAACAATGCCAAACTCAAAACCCAAACAGCTGGCTACCTGCTTACAGTCAGCTATAAACTGTGTGTCCTCGAGCAAGTGACAGCCTCTCTGATCTTGAATGTCCTCACTGTAACCCCCAAAAATGGCACTTTATAGTTCTGATAGAATCTACAAATATGAAAAAGGCGTAGGAAATGGAAACAAGAAAACATGTCAAGCTGGAGACTAGTGAGCGGCTCCCTGAGAGAAACTACAGTCCTGAAAGATGGGCTAGAGTGAATCACTTGACCAAATTTCTTCTGCCAATCCCTGGACAACGTGAATGATGAACAATGTGAAAGGAGTGTGGGGTTTGGCAGGGAGGCATCAGAAGGTCATTTCAAGAAGAGTGCTAAACACAAAGGACTAAAAATAAGAATGAGCCAAGTCACGCGCATGAGAAAGTTATTCTGGCTGGAGCAAAGGGTTCTAGGCAGAGTGAAAAGCAATTGAAGATTCTTGACCTTGGAAAGAGTGGGTCACATTGTTAAACAGTTTGTTGTTCACTGAATCTGTCAAATCGAATGCATGTTTTTAAAAATAAGGACTGACCTATTATTTTTATTGTAGTTTAAAATCTGATTCTATTCATGGAAGTTCGTTAAAATCATCTTGATTATTTTAAAGAAAATAATTGAACTTTACTGAGTAAAGAAGGGAGTTAATATTATTTAAATTCCTATTATGCTCAAACATTATCTCATCAGCCCCTGATTTATAGATTAGGAAACTGAGGCTCAAAGAGAGTAAAGAATTTGCCTGATGGGTCCAGTTAAATTGCAAAACTGTGATTGGGACCTAAGTTTGTCCGACTATAAAGCCTACAAACATATTGTAGTTCAAAAAGGAAAAACTCTTGGTTGAATTATCCTCAGTTAAACATTAATGCTGTGAAATAGCCAACAGCTTTCCTTGGCCATCACCAATGCCTGTTGAAGAGGCAGTGACCTTTGATTTTGTCACTTAATCAAAACACACTTTAAAAAATTTGTTTGACCCCTTTGCCCAGAAGAGGTTGCATATTTTTCTCCTTTGCCCTATGGAGCACCACCTAATGTGATGCATCTTTTGAAACTGAAGTTTACCATCCATGTTTGCCATCCATATCTGCCATCCATGAGTGACAAGTCATTGCATACTGATTCCAAAATAATACTTGTGCTTAGTGAATACAAAAATCAGAATAATTCCGTTGTTGAGGCTTATAGCAATTACTCAACTTAAAGACTTGAGGAAAATAAAAGGAAACATACAGAAGGACATTCCACACTGTGATGGTGGAGCGGTACAGTAGTTGGTGGAGTAGTCAGGGAAGACCAAAAACCAAATGTGGGTTGCTTCATGCACATCAGTGGTGAATGAACACTATTCACCAAGCCATTGAACCAACTGACCTGATTCCAGAGGGAGGTTACCATGTTGATGCCAGTATTTACCAAGGACCTGTGACAAACAGAAATTGTACCCACGTGCACATAATTCAGAATGACACCACTGAGAGTCTTTGTTATTCAATAACAGTAAGAGCCGATGTGGGGGTGGGAGGGAGCACTTATCAAGGGTAAGTACCATGGTAAGCACTTTACATACATTATCTTCCCTTAATTCTCAGATCCAGCCTCAAGAGGTAAATGCTATCATTTAATCCATGTTCCAGGTGAGAAACCTAAGGCTTAGAGAGGCGGTTTCTATTTATTTCATCAATTGCTTTATAACATTCTAGAATAATGTTTCTCAAATTATCAGTGTTGAGGGCCCAGTTTTCCTCCAGTTTGTCCTGGCCTAATACTTCTGTATTCTCAATTTCTGGACTTAACACATCAAAACATGTAAGAAAAAGTTTAAGGACCAGCACTGGTTTGCCAATCGTATTGTGAGTGGTACTGTTATAGTATTTGAAAGCCAATATTGTAAGTCAGGTATGTACAAAGTCTAGGACATCACCTTCATGTACTCTAAGTTAGAAGAGAAGTATAACTTGCCCCTTTTAGACTTCTAAGTTATCAGTCATTATTATTATTATCATTATTCTACTGTATTTCTTCTCAAGGAATGCATATATGTTAAGATCAGCAATGCAAGCAAGTACTTACAGGCTTTCACTACACAACCTATGAAATTAACACTATGTGTTTTATAGCATAAAACCTACTTTCTTCTTTCGATTATAAACCCATCAATCAGAACTCATATACTTCTTCTGTTCTACATCACACATGGAACACTATTGACACATGATAAAGGCTGTTAATTGGCATTTACACATGTACTTTTACCACACACACAACAAAGATAAGAAACAAAAATAGTGTTTTTATAGGGACAATTTCTCTTGGGTGTTTGTGTGTCACAGCAAAGGAAGACACATGGACATGTTTGTTGAAGAAAGAACCGAAGCCTCTGAAATTTTCTCCTCCGGCTCATCAGGGACTTGTGGGTAATTTGCAGGCAATTTGTATCCCCTTTTCCTGCAGGACTAAACCTCAGATGTAATTTCTGCAATTGTCAATCACTCTTCTTGTCCCACAGACCATTCTGCAAGAAAACATCATGTTCTGTGGGGTTTCTCACATTTATAAATTCAGGAATTGAAAGGAACTGTGCTGGTGGAGTAGAGGTGTCTCCTGTAGAAAGAGGAATGAGAGTGGAGGAATCAAGTCTGTCCTTAACAAGCACGTCTTTCACCGTAAG